ATACCAACTCGTCGAGTCGTGGTCAGACTCGGCGAGTCTGGTCGCGAAGTCAATTTTTTTCTGAAATCCATGTGGACTCGTCGAGTCATGGTCAACTCGGCGAGTCGCTTAAAAAAAATGCATAATTTTCAAAATTTTGTTATTTATTGTAAATCATTTCACCCCACACTTAGCCTATGCACACTCTCAAGCAGACATGTACGATGATTTGGAAGATTAAGATTCAAAAAAAACGAAGGGAAAATAAATAAAACTAAAAAGTAAAAGAAAGCAAACTCTATATAACGGGTTGCCTCCCGCCAAGCACTTCTTTTTGAGGAGTCATTAGCTAGACTCCTTCCCATCTACGTTTCGTCACCTCCGAGCATCGGGAATGCACGCCTAACTTTTTGTGATTTGTACTTGGTCTTGTAAGCGTGGATCTTTTTCTTGTAAGTCCTTTTTAATGCATCTCTTTTCCTTTTCACAGCCTCATCCTCAGCTGCTTGGGCTTCCCTGTTTCTCTTTTTCTTCTTTACCCCCTTCTTTTTCACCTTCTCTTGAACCTCCTTCTCTTTAAATTTAATTACTTCACATTTCATGATGGTCCGTGCTTTAGGTTTAGTAGTGAATAGGTGATCAGCTTCCTCCCTCCTTTCCTTTCCTCCTTCTGCTGTTTGTTCTTCTAAAGAATCATGTATATTATTGAAATCCAAGGTATGTGAAGAACTAGTAACAGGCAGATCTAAGTCGGCCAAGTGTTTGCCCAAATCGACTGGACTCGTCGAGTCCATTAAAGTGACTCGGCGAGTCGGAACGAATTCCATAAAATCTTGGGTTTTTTCTGAGTGGGCTCCTTCCAGTAGCTTTTCTAATTCATCCAAGTCCTTGTTAACATCTCCTTCTTCTTCAGAGTGTATCACAAACTTGCTTGGATCCTCTTTCATCAAACGTGCAAGCTCTTTTTCTAATATCTCATCATCCAATTGGATCATTGAGACTTCTTCAATCTTTTCCTCTTCTTGCTTGATTTCTGGAATGGCTTTAAACATCACAGCCTCATCACCCACCCTTAATGTCAATGTAGACTCACATATATCAATTAAAGCACACGCGGTGTTCAAGAAGGATCTCCCCAAAATAATTGGAATTTCGGGGTCTTCTTCCATATCAACAACCACGAAGTCTACTGGGAAAATAAACTTGTCAACTTTTATAAGGAGATCTTCACAAACGCCTTGTGGATGAATTATTGTCTTATCCGCCAAATGGATCTTCATTTTCACCGGTTTTGGTTCTGGTAAATTTAGCTTCTTAAAGAATGACAAAGGCATCATATTGATGCTTGCCCCCGAGTCAGCTAATGCTCGGGTGAATGACCTTATTACCAAATTGGCACGGAAGCATAATATTTCCTGGATCACCCTTCTTTTTAGGTAGCTCACTCATCAAGACTTCTGCGACTTCAGCCAAATCCTTCCTAGCAGCAAAAAGGCCCTTAAGCAAGTTGAAGTATTTAGGCATTTGAAGTATTGTTTCCACAAATGGCACATTAACTTGTAGAGCGTTAACATGATTCATGAAGGTTCTGTATGCTTCTACTTTTTCTGCAGGCATGGCTTTGGTTGGGTATGGCAGTGGAGGCTTATAAGGTTTCGAAGAAATGGCAGGTGTTTCAATTTCGCATGGACTCGTCGAGTCCAATGGAGTGACTCGGCGAGTCGGGTCGGGTTTTGCTGGCTCCGATTCTTCTACCTTTTCTTCCTTCTTCTTGGAGATCCTTAGTGCTTCTGTAAATTTTTCTTCACTGCTGGAGGTTATTACGCTTACGTTCTCCATTCTTGGATTGGGTTCGGTGTTGCTCGGAAGTTGGCCCGGTCTTCTTTCATTCACTTGATGTGCAAGCTGTCCCAGCTGTTTCTCAATGTTGAGAATGGATGCTTGCTGATTCCTCAACATGTTTCTGGTTTCTTGCATTGCTACATCGTGATCATTGTGTCTTTTCTCGGATGCGGTTATGAACCTTGTGAGCATATCTTCTAAATTTTCCTTCTTTTCTATCACCGGCTCTTCCTTTTGATAGAATCCCCTCTCCCTCTGTTTGTATTTCTCTTCCTTAGCCTTTTTATATTCTTCATATGGGAGCCATTCCTTCTTCAGTTTCCTCCAATCTTCATCGTATCTATCGCCACTGGAATAAAATACTTGAGCCTTTTTATTTCCGTTCTCGTCTCGATCACAATCCTTGGTGAGGTGGGGGCCGCCACAATTTTCGCATCCTACCCTAATAGCATGGATTGTTTGATCCATTTTCGTCATTCTTCGGTCTAGGCTATCGAGTTTAGCTATTACCGCCGCCATGCTATCGTTAACCGAGTTCACTGCTCCACGACTCACTTCATTCCTCGGATTGTGGTATTCTCTAGAATGCTTGGAGAATTCTTCAATTAATTCCTTTATTTCCAGAGGTGGCTTTCTGGTGAGCGGGCCTTGTGAATCGAGTAGTTGCCTCGTGGTGACATTAACTCCATCATAAAAGATGGAGACCTCTTGTTGGCTATTAAGATCATGGTGGGGGAAATTTCTAAGTAGGCTCTTGTATCTTTCCCAAGCTTCATAAAGAGATTCTCCGGGTTGTTGCTCGAAGTTGGCAATGGCTTTCTTTAGCTTGGCTATCTTGGAAGGTGGGCAGAAATGGTCAATGAACTCTTCTTTCATCTTGGCCCATGTGGTGACCGATCCGGGAGGGAGTGACTTTAACCAATCTTTTGCAGCTCCTTTAAATGTGACAGGAAGCATGCGTAGTAGCTGGATCTAGCGAGGCACATTGGGTACATTGAAGTAATCTGCCACATCATTTACTTCATCCAAGTGCTTATAGGCATCTTCGTGATCTCTCCCGTGAAAAGGAATCTCCTTGAGTTGAGCGAGAATATGGCCCTTTAGCTCAAACGTAGCGGTTGCGGGAATTGCAGGTTGCACAAGTCCCGGGCCGGTGTCATCACGCATCCTCTTCTTCCACTCCCCCATGGGGATTTCGTCAATATTAGCCATAACGGAGGCTAAATCGTCTTCAAACTCGGATGTGTGCTCGTATGTGGGCTCGTTTTCTTCCTCGGTCTCGTACTCGGTGTCTTTTTGGATCGGGTCTTCGATTGTCAACGATGCACTGGATGCTCCTGATTTGCTGCTCCTTTTCTTGCTAAAAACGGATTTGAGGTTTTTGAGTGGTGAGTTCTTTGAAGAAGCGGATTCTCCAACGGTTTTGCCTTTGTTTCTTCTTAATGCGGTTTCCGGATCTTCAAGAGGGGGAACCAGAGGCGTATCAGATCCTCGGGTCATGAAACAACTGCAATCAAAACAAAAAAACGCGTAAAAAAGAAAAAAAATTAAATCTGATTCAGCGTCGTACTCGCCGAGTCTGGGCGAATGCACTCGGCGAGTTCAAGGTAAAATCAGTTTTTTTTTTTTTTACCTAAAAAAACAGAAATTAACTTTGTGTAAGATGAATCTTACACAAAGGATCGATTGAATTAGAATTTTAATGCTAATTTTAGAACCGTTCCCCGGCAACGGCGCCAAAAACTTGATGTGTGTAAAACTCACTTAGTTTTAAACCTACTTTAATTATCAAATAACACACAAAAGGCAGTGAACCTATCAATTGTGGTATAGCTAAATAAGCAGGGTATCGAACACAGGGAACGACAAATTAAATTAAAAACTAATTCTATCTAAGTTGATTAAGAAATAGGGGTTTTTCTCTAGTTTTACAAGACTAGAAACTTACTAACTATAACTAATTTAAGACTAGAAAATAACGACTTAACTAGATTCAATAATTGGAAAGGAACTTCTGTTTAGTTCAACTCGGTTAACTCTATGGTTGATTTCAAGGTAATAGTGCAATGGATTAATTCTTTCGTTGGTTACCGATTCAAGTGATTAGGTTCATGTTCACTACCCTAATCCTTAGCAAATAAACTAACTCAAACAGTGGCCAATTGCTTAATTTAATTATATTTACTAGATTAATTATTCGGGTTAAGTTAGACTTGCAATAGCTAATTAATTTATTATTCTTAATTAACCTCTTGTTTGATGGTCATCTTACAAGCTTGCACATGAATTTACTCAATTTTCTTATTAATTCTAGTTTCATATTCATTAATCCTAGACATATAGTATAGTGGTCACATATCATATGAGGTTGATAATCAATAGATGTTCATGCTAATCAATTATCTTCCTATTAACAGAAAATTAATTATTATTCATACACAAGGTTCTTTAGCAAGCTAAAATAACAAAAATTCACCAACTTGGAATTAATCCTACCAATCAATCAAACCATATTGTCAACTTTGTATCCCCAAACAGAAGTCTAAAGATTTTAGTTCATAATTAAAGTAAATAACAGCAAACAAACAAGTTCAAGTTGCTTAATCATATTGATAAAACAAAAGAATAAGTAGAATGATGAAATTGTGCCTTAATTACTCCCGGAATTGAATTCTAGCTTTCTTTGTCGACTTCTAGGGTTCTTCTGGCTTCTTAATCGCAGCAAAACACTTCTGAATCGTCCCAGAATTCTCCCTAATCGATCTGTGGAGTTATCTTTAAATAAGCGATCCGACTCGTCGAGTCAAGTGGTGACTCGTCGAGTCCCTCTCACATTCCCCGTATTGCGATAACTATCTGGAATTCCGAGTCATTATCCTTCTGATTCCTCGACCGGACTCGTCGAGTAGGCTATCTGACTCGACGAGTAGGTGCCTTTTTTAGTGTTTTTCTTCTTCATTCCATTCTCGAGCTCCTAACCGCTTCTCCTGCTTCCTTTTGCTTCCGAGCTTCATCTTTGGACTGAAAAACATAATTTAACACTTTTAAGTACCTTTTGTCCATAATATGCGATAATTTAGCTAATATATGAATAAAAAACTATACTTAATACACACTAAATATGCACATATCAACACTGGTTGAGAGTTTTGGAGATTGAAGGATGTTCTCAAGATTTGATGCAGATACCTAGTACCTTAGAATCCTTATGCCAACTTTAAAACACTTATACATTTAAAACTTATCTCTAACATACGTAAAAATTTCCAACCCCTTAATGCATATCATATTTCCCTGAAGACGCCCCAACTGACCCCGCCGAAGAGGAAGACCCTTCAGAGGATGAAGAGGAAGACCCTTCGGAAGATGAAGATAAGGCCCATATAGAGGAGGTCGTAGAGTCCGGTGATGAGGGTATACTTGAGGACGCACATTATGAGTTAGATAATGATGGTCTAGTAGAGGATGATGAGGGCCTCATTGATGAGGAGACTATCCTTACTCCGTCACCCTCTCCAACTATCATCCATACCACCATCACAACAAGAGTCCCATTTTGATGAGGGCTTCGAAGATGTATGTTCCTCCGGTGTCTCACCTAGAAACTTTCTCTTAACTTTCCTAATCCATTAGTAGTCAGAAAAGGAAACAAACTTCACCTATTGAGATAGACTGGCTCACCGATATGCTAAGCAAAAGGAGGATTATTGATGATCCTCCAGGATTTGAGAGAGGCGATTCTTCTTAGGCTCCGCCACGTACACCATCCGGGGGTAACCCCGAGGATGGCCCGATTCCTCACCTGATGACTTAGGATGATAGATTAGCGTACCGTTATCATAACATGGGTGCTAGCCGCACTGATGCGAACACTATAAGTGTCCATTATAGAGAACTAGCATAACAGACCCAAATTGCTAAGAGCTGGCTGGATGCAGCCGAGTATACAGTGACCATTGCTACGCAGGAGCAACACCAACCTTAGGAGCAGTCCACTACTTGAGTTTCCACTTAGGATGGTATAAAATCGTCTGGGGTGGCTTGTTCCTTAAAGCAGGGTTGGCATTTTTTTGGAATAGCTGTTATACTGCAAGTGTTTATCACTACCCGTTAGAAATTGTTCTTTTGTAAAGCTTTTCCATTTCTACCTTACACGGTTGGTACTTTTGTAGTCTTTGTAATAAAAAACAAGCAGATCTAATCTATAACACTATTTTAGTATTTTGTTAAATGTTGGAACTCATTAACTATATTTCTTGTAAAACACTATCATTACTTAGTGAAGTATCAGTTAAGAACTTTCACTCTATTTCTAGGAAATCTATAAGATTTTGGGAACAAATTACACAAATACACAACCCAAAAATAACTTAACATGCCTATTCTAAACATATTAGGATATTGGCCCCAAGAAAGAGTCCGCGAGTTTGTACACCACCAACTCCCCAAGTCACTTACAGGGTCACTCCAAGAGTTACACCAAGATTAACCCCAACTCTGGAAGGAACTCTAGAAGAAACCCCACCAATTTTCAATACCTCAATCCCACCATTTCAAATGGATCTTGCTATAATGCAGACCCTGATTGCACAAGGGATTGCCACAGCCTTGGATGCATATGAGGCTGCCCGGAACGAAAACTTCAGAAACAATAGAAATGGTGGTGGCACTCCGATTATTAACCAAAACATTTCTAGACCTTGTTCATATAAGGATTTCATGGGCTACAAACCCCAATCCTTCTTCCGCACAGAAGGAGCTGTTAGTCTATCCCATTAAATAGAAAAAATGGAGGTAGGCAGTATTTCACATCAGTGCTTGCACTGAGGACTACTGAGTCAAGTATGCTACCTGCATATTGATGGATTCCACTCTAATTTGCCAAGTCCATGGGGATCGATGATGCTTAAGCCATGGGCTAGAAACCCATAAAAATGATGATCAAAGAGTACTGCCCCAACAAGAAGTCCAAGAACTGGAGCAGGAGCTCTGGAATCTCACCTTGAAAGGATCATAGCTGGCTGCCTACACCTCTCGATTTAATGACCTTGCAAATATCTATCCAGGAATGGTGAGCTCGGAATATAAGAAGACCGAAAGGTACATATGGGGATTGGTTTCACTAGTTCAAGGTCTGTTACGACATCCAGACCCTCCACATTTTATAGTGCTAAGCAATTGGCCTATCAATTGATTGATCAATGTATCTGTCTGGGTACCATAGCCTAGCAAATGAAACATAATCAGGTTATGAAGCTAAAGTTCTAGGGAAAGTCAAGAGGGAACTCCATGCATCATAAAACCAAGCCAAAAATTATGGATGTTTATTCCTCAATCACAAACACTCCCACCCCTTCCAAGTCCTACACTGGAACTCTACCCCACTGTACCAAATGCAACTTCCACCATGTAGGAAAATGCAGAGATATGATTTGCAACAATTATGGCATGAAAGGTCAAATGTAACTTCCACCATGTTGTAAATTGCAGAGATATGATATGCAACAACTATGGCATGAAAGGTCACAAGGTAAGGTACTGCAGAAAGGTCCCAAACACTATGAACTTAACCATTACTGTGATAGGAATCCATAACCACTTCGAATGCAATCAACCAAGGCTTTTCAAGAAAGACTGTCTGAAATTGAAGAATTTGGGTGGCAAAGGAAGAGCATTTGTAATCACAACGGGAGATGCTCGCTAGGAACCAATTGTGGTTACGAGTATTTTTCCTTTCAATAATATTTATGCTTCCGTGTTATTTGATACTGGTGCTGATAAAAGCTTTATTGACCAAAAGTTTAGAAGCATGCTAAACAATAACTTCGGAAAACTTAATGAAGCTTACTCGGTAGAGATGGCAAATGGCCAAGTAGAAAGCACCTTAGAAATAACTACCGATTTCCTTCTCCCTAAATAACCACGTCTTTTACATCAACCTAATACCCATGACCATTCGAAGTTTTGATGTGATTATCGAAATGGGTTAGTTATCGCCTCACCGAGCCAAAGTTCAATGCTATTAAAAATCTATCCGACTACCCCTACCCAACAACGAAGCCCTTGTGATTTGCAAAGACAAATCAGGGAAGAATATAAGAGTCATTCCTTTCATAAAGGCGACAAAGTGCTTATAGAAGAGATGCTACACTTTCTTGGCCCATGTGGTGGATATTAGGGGTGTTGATCGGGTAAAATTTTCGGGTTTCGGATAATTCAGGTTTTTCATATAAAAAAAATTACCCGTTACCCTACCCAAATTAAATTCGGGTAAATCGGGTTTGGGTAATTCAGGTAATGGGTCAGGTAAGGGTAATTCGGGTATTACCCGATTTAAAAAAAAATTATTTTTTTTATTTTTTAATGGCACCTAAAAATAAATTTAATGAAATAATTATGTTGTGCTCAAACTTTGTACATTGAGATTTTTTACGCAATAGTATTTGAGATATCAAGTGTTCGTTTAACAATTTTATCAAATCTAATAAGATGTTAAAAAAAACAATTACTTAAAGAAATAATAACAACCAAAGTCAACAATTTAAATTACTTGATATCAATGTATATGCATGTATTTTGCATTTACCAAAAAAACTCAAGTCTTAAATCTAGAAAACATAGAAACCATTACATAGTATAAAAATAATAACATACCAAGTTCCAAAAGACATTCATAAATATACTCGTCTTCTTGCACCTACTCGTTCTTCTTGCACCTTCACAACTTCATCTTGCTCAATTCTATATAAAAAAAATCCAATAATGTTAGTATTAAAAGGAAAAGATCTTAAATTTACAATAATTAAAATAATAAACGATAAACAATTACCTTTGTCCATTTGTTGATTTCCTTCCCAATCTTTTTCATAATCGATTGTGTCACTTATGTTACCCCGAATCCAATCTTGTGTACAAATTAAACTTTCAACAATCTTAGGAGTCAAAGAACTCCTAAACGGATCCAACACCCTCCCACTAGTGCTAAAAACAGATTCCGAAGCCACGGTTGAGACGGGAATGGCAAACACATCTCTTGCCATCAATGATAGAATTGGGAATCTTGGACTATTCACTTTCCACCAGTCTAGAATACTAAACATTTCTGAGTCGTCTTCAACACTTTCTTGCAAATACTTTTCTAACTCCCCAATTGATTCAACTATGTTCGTCTTCATCTTTTCTCTTAGTTTATTTCTCAATGGGGGGTTAGGTGTCGTAAAATCCGGGTTTTGGCATTTCCCTAATATCGATGATGAAATGGTAGACTCGGTAGTACTTGAAGTAGAACTTGGAGAATGAATTCTAATATAATCATTATATAATTCATACATAGAATCCATGATATATTTCTTTTTGGCCTCCATCCCTTTCTCCATAACGATCCTCTAATAGTATAACCAAATACTTTACTTTGTTCCTCGGATCAAGAATCAAAGCAAAGTAAAGCAATAAATTCATTTTTTCTATGTCGCCAAAATACTTGTCGAACTTTATTTTCATGGCTAATGCAATATCACAAAGACTAGAATCGGAAATAGCATCATCCAAGAGCGTACGAATGGAAAATATGTCTTCATAGCACGTGTTTGATGTCACATAAAATGTCCTAGAAATCCTTAAAGTAACATCATGAAAAGGTTTTAAAAAATGGCATACATTCCTAACCCTTTCCCAATCGCTTGATGAAGGTATCGACAAACCCGCCTTTTCAATTTCGTTCCGAAAATCAAATTCCTCAAGATCATATCTTTCAAAAGTTTTTTCGTAAGCTTGGGCAATTTCCAACATATGGTAAGTAGAGTTTCATCTTGTTGGCACATCTCTTTTCAAGTGTTTTGTTATACCGGGATTAGCAACCTCAACAAACTTGGTAAACTTATGAATTCTAGAAGGCGATTGCCTAATCCATTTAACCGCCTATCGAACTATCTCAACCGCCTTATCAACTTTTTTATGCCATCTTGCACCACTAAATTTAAAATGTGGGCAACACATCGCATATGCATCCATTTCCCATTTAAAAGACACTTGTTGGAGTTTTGAAAACTTTTTTTCAAGAAGTCAATTGCCACATCATTCGCACTTGCATTGTCAACAGAAATTGTGAAAACATTTTCTATTTCCCACTCCATTAAACACTTCTCAACCATTTTTCCAAATATCAACCCCGTGGTGACTCTCTTGAGAAAAAAAAACACAACACTTTTTTTCTTTCAATTTCCATTCGTTATCAATAAAGTGAGCGGTGAGACACATATAACATGATTGTTGTTTAGAAGTCCACGTATCAGTAGTTAAACATATTCTACCAACATTTTTTTAATAAAGTCACAAATTTTTTCTTTTTCCTCTACAAAAAATTGGTAGACATCCATTGTGCTTGTACTTCTACATGGAACTTTAAACAATGGTTGAGTAACACTATTGTAATATCTAAATCCCGCACCTTCTACAAAGCTAAATGGAAGTTCGTCAACTACTAACATGTGGGCTAGAGCCTTCCGACTGTCATTTTGATCAAATTTCCAAGTTGACAATTTGTTTTCATCACCATGTTGGA